GTTTAGTCTATTGACAGCAAACTCTTCTTTACACAAATTATTATGTTACAATTTACTGATTTAGACTTTTTAAGTTATCGAAATTTAAGTAACTCATAAAACATTGATATAAAATCTGCATGTTTGTTCATATAAAATTGCTCATGACTTCTTTTTCATCAGGAGGCACGAAATTGCAATTCTAGAAAGACCTTTTTTTTTTTTTTTTGCCAACTTAAGCACCAACTCTTTCCACATTTGCTGTAAAACTAGATATACCATGCCTTTAGTATAAGCTGAATGACAAACTTTTGTTTTTTCCCTCTATAAAGCATGGATTAATCTTTTTTATACTAACAATATATACATTGTTAGTTTTGAATGAATGGTAATTATGAAAAATCTGAATTTAAAATTCTAACTTTTGCACATGTATTATGAATCCAACAGTAATACCGTGTATACTTTTAGGGTATCTAAGATTTACTCATAAAACATTATTATAAAATGCTAATATAGGAAACATTCCTGCTACTAAGGTTGAGACAAAGTACAAGGAAATTCATATTATTGATACTGATCTTTGTCCAAAAGATTAGAAATGCCACTAAAAGAGAGACAAAAATTTAAGAGCTAATGCTAATTTTTCTAAGTGATATTAGCCTAGTTAGAGAGTGTTAGTCTGACAACACGAGGCTCTTCTACTGATCCTATCCACAAATTTCCATTATGTTCATTTACAGCACTACTAAACCCCCATGTCACCCCATTTCCAGCTCCTATTATCTTCAATATGTCACCGTCCAGACTCAATTTAATTATCATTCCAAGTGGATTGAAAATCCTATCTCTTGAGTTAGTTGCCTCCCAAAATTCACCTTGTTGGTTTCTTTTGAAGTTGTCTGGCCTTCCTGGAAGTTGTGCGAAAACATCAACCTTGCTAGCCCTGGATGGCTCAAGCCAATACCTAAACACTCTATTGTTTGTGGTTTCAGTAACAAGCAGGAAATCCCCATTTTGGCTCAGTGCTACTCCGTTTGGAAACATAAGATGATCCAAAAGGACCGTTACTTGATGAGTCGACGGTCATATTTCAATAGCCTTCCTGTATTGTCACCACTTGATATCACATAAGCAAATGCACTGAAATTCCAAAGCATCATGATTAGTAAATTGGTAAAGATACAGTAATTGCTTTGGGCATACAAGAAGATACAAATATGTCCAAGAATCAAGAAAAAAAAATTGCATCATAGCAAAAATACCTTCTTGGAAATCTTGTGCTGGTGTCAGTAAAATATACTATACCACTGTATTGATCTGCCACCACATCATTGGTGAACATGAATGGAATTCCTCATGCTTGCTTTGCCAGTGGTCTAGCTAATCCACCATTAGGACCAACAGCCAGGAGACCCATGTAGGCATCAACAATGTAAAGATCACCTGTCTTCTGGTTGAAACTAAGTCCTAGTGGTCGCCCACATCTTGCCTCTGTGTAAACATGATTAAATGGACCTTGACAGCCAAATCTGTTTACAAAAGTTATTGTGTTATTTAAAACGTTAGTAAACAATTACCTTGCAATTTTAATAGCAATGGATAATAAAAAATAACTAAGTCGCCAAATATTTGATAAAGAAATTTGTAAAATACTTGCTGCAAAAGAACAATATAAAGAGTAAAGTGTACTTAAGATGTGTTTGATAAAACTAAAGTTTGAAAATTGAAATCTAAAATCTGAATCCATTAAATTAGTAGATTGTTAAGTACTAGATGTGATACATTTGAATGTATATCACATTAACTAATAAGTGAATAGTTTATCACTTATTTTTTGGAGTAAATTTTGTTTAGAAAATTCAGTGTCACTTAATTAATTTAAATATTTTGATTTTGATTATCAACGCATCTGAACATATTAAGATCTGAATCTATTAATTTTAAGTGTTAAATTGGGTTATCAAACAGGAATCAAGGCCAGTGATGCATATATGATTAGTAGTGTTCAAAGGTATGTCGTCTTATTTCTTAATTTCTTTCAATCTGTTATTGAAGTCACTGATGTCCATCATAATAGCGTAATCAAATAAAAGTCTATCCAAATAAGCTATGTGATCAATCATAATGCATTAATTGTGGTTCGTCGTATTTAGTCCAATAAGTCAGATGAAATTCTGATACTAAATAAGGTTTGTTTTCGAGTGGTGACTGTGCATTTAATTCTGATTTATTATCACATCGAGAAGGTTCTCATAAAAAATGTTGTTCTTTCTAAAGCAATTTCGGACATGAATACTTGATCTCCATAAAAATACTAGTTTCAGTAATTTCCTTTTATAATTTCAAATCTACCATTTACATGCTTCAAAAAATGCATAACTTTTATCAATTTTGTCAATTTTGGAAACGTTTACCTGTAATATTTTTGACAAGAATTTATAATCTAAATATGCATAAAATCAATGAAATTTTCTCTAGCAACCAATATTGCAAAATTCTACAAATCTCGAATTCATGGGTCGTGGCAATTCCACGATGAAACAAAACAAATTAGATGGCTATAAAGAGTTTCTTCCTACTAGTGTTAAGGGCGTGAATTAATTTTATACAAAACTTTTGTTTTTCTATATAAATCAAATTGATATAAACTTTTTATTAAAGAACTTCAGCTTGTAATGTTATAGTAATTTGGTATTTAAATTAGGGCTATTATAAGTAGTTATAAAGGCAATATGTAAGTAGATGATGAGGGTAAAAATTAATTTTTTGTAAAGATAAAGTTGAAAGTTCAAAAGATAACTAAAATTGTTTGCACTATCTACCGCTTCTTTAGTTTTATAAATGGTATATATTTTGTGGTATGTAAATAGACACAGAACTAATAACAATTACAAGGATTGAATATACAAAAAAAAAAGTCATAGATGGAAGCATAAATAGAAACCTGCATGGAGTTGTTACAACAAGATCGACCCAACGATTCAGAATTGTATCCCATTTTATTATGCGACCATCAGAAATGCCCGTATACAGGTCACCACCATACCGATCAAAGGCAATACTCTTAGGTCCGGTTGCATCATAAATCGGAAAATTTTGAGAGTCCTTAATTTGACAACTAACAATTCCAGCATTGTAGATCAATATAGCTATGAGAAGTAGGGTAGAGAAAGATGCAAACCAATGCTTAGAACCCATACTGAAGAAAGAATCGAAAGAATGGAATTTGCAGTGAGAAGCCGAATAAAGGTTTTTATTTTTGTTGTCTACAATAGAGTAATGTTTTTCGAAGTAGAACAGTCGGGCTCTTCTTTATAAGCCTTGGAAACAATTTGATTCCATAAAGCAAACTGTAGAAACATTTTTTCTTTTTTTGGTATACTTTGAATTCAAAAGGAAGTCTGTTAAAGGAATACCGAAAGATTAAGGACCTTAACTTGGCATTTTTATAGGTGGTTTCCTCAATTCGTATACAACTCTAATCAATTCAAATCTTCTATGCATAGGGGTCAAGTGGATCAACAAGGTAATCAATTGACATCAATAACCCCTCATATATATATATATATATATATATCAAAGAACTAAATTCCCTAAACAAACAACTCCCTTCAATAATTTTTAAATATTTTGCCAAGCTGTAAACAATTTATATTTGCACAAATATCGAAAATTTTTGTTTATATAATATCTACACTTTATATGGATTAGGTGTTTTTTTGGAGTGTTTTTAAAAAACTTTATTGAAGCTGTGTATGTTAATAACTTTCAGCTATAGATGGTCACGGTTGACTTAAGTATTTTTGGGATATAGTTTGGGATATTTTTAAAATTTAAAATTTTATTGTGGTATTTTTAAAAATTTGTAAAATATTTCTTACCACCCACCATCCTTCCCCTCCTCCCTCTTACACCGTCGCCACCCCCCTCCGCTCCTCCACTGCCACTGCCTCTTCCCCCTCCCTCCTCTCTCCTCCCTCTTCCTCTTCCTACCTTCCCCTTTTTCCTTCTCCTCTCCCTCCTCCTTCTCGATAACCCTCCATTTTCCTGATCTAGTTGCAGGTCGTGACCCACGACCAGTCATGGGCTGGGCCGTGACAGGTTGGGAAAAGGGAGGGTTGTAGGGAGAGGAGGGGAGGGGGTGGCAATGGTGAATGGAAGAAAAAAGAAGTTGTAGAGTGTTTTTTTTAAAGATGTATTTGAGATTGTGTGTATTTAGAATTTTTTGAAAGTGTTTTGAAGTATACTACTATACACTTCAAAAATAAAAATAAGTTTGTGGAAAACTCCACAATCCAATAGCAGAGTGAATAAGATAAGAAATGCCAATTTCTCAGTTTTGACTTTTTAGTCTCTAAATGTTTTTCGCTTTTAGTACCAGTTAATATTGACCTGAAATGTATAAATTTGTGTGAGGAAAAAAAATGCCAATAATACGCATTGCATATAGCGGTTTTTGAAAATTAAGTGGGGGCAGATTGCCCCCTCTTGAACCTATGTGGCTCCGTGCGTGCCGTAAATTATGTGAAAATTCGTATGAGAGGACATTTTGGATTTCATTACCTAATATCATCCAAGATTTTTTTACGGAAAAGACTAGATTCTGAGATTTGTTTTCCATATGCACAACTGGAATGTGAATCAATTTTGAAGACATGCACTGTCAAAATCTACAAAAGGGGGAAAAAGTCTCTAAAAAGTCGAAATGTAGTAAACAATGAAGTAGTACAAAAATGAAGTCATTAAATTCGATTCTCTTTTGTTGTAAAAAAGAAAAGAAAACCTACTAAAAAAGTTGATTGCACTTGCCAGTGAAATGGATTACGTAAATTATCCCACATCAACTTAGCAACTGATACAAGTCTAGCTTTACAGCTTTATTTTGGCAACATAAGGTTCTGCTACAGATCCTATCCATAAATGTTCATTCTCTTCATTTACATCGCAACTAAATCGCCATTCTTCTCCGTTTCCAGCCTCTATTATCTTCAGTATGTCACCATTTTGACTCAATTTAACTATCGATCCGAATGGATTAAACACGTTCTCCAGTGAAACAACTGCCACCCAAATTCTCCATTTTGGTTTCTTTTGATGTTGTCCGGCCTTCCTGGAAGCTTGGCAAAGATTTCAACTGTCCCAGCTTTCGATGGTTCAAGCCAATACTTCAATACTCTACAATTTGTGGTTTCAGCAACCGGCAGAAAATCATTATTTTTGCTCAATACCACTCCATTTGGAAACATGAGATTCTTCAGGAGAACGGTTACTTGATTAGTCTTTGGATCAAATTTCAGTAACCTTCCCCAGTTGTCTCCAGTAAGTATCACTAGAGCAAAATCTCTGAAATTTGGAGCATTACGATTAATGGTACTTATGTTTGAGGATAGAAAAATTACAAACATATAATCCAAAAAACAAGCTGTTTCTTTGAATATTCTTGAATCAGTGTTAAAATTTAGGTATTAGTTATGATAGATCTTTGGACTATATGGGCAGGCACACAGACTAACAGGAGGCCAATCTAGCAAAGGAATTTTGGTATTCTCGATTGACGCATATTTCTAGTTAAACTTTTAAAACTAGGGTTCATAACACTTTGCCCCTTGAACCTATGGGGTTGTAACAGTTTACCACCCTAAACTTCAAAAATATATATTTTGCCCTCCAAAGTGAATTATATTTTTACTTTTAATTTTGACAAACTTATGAGCATATTTTTCTTTCCAAATTAACCCCAGTTTTCCTATTTCCTCAATGGTCAGCTTTTAGCTTGTTGCATTTCCTTATTATATATTCATCAAAATATTTTGCTATTACAAGATGTGATGTTGGATAGCAATTTAATTAACTTATTATGTAAACTTATCTATAATTTAGAGTCAGTTTAAATAGGGCTCCACCCGTGCCTTGCCCGCCCCCGCCTTATATGTATAATGTATTATAGTACTAATATGTATGAGTATATTGTAATTTAAAATTAACAAAATGGTATTTTGTTGTGATAAAATAATGTACCCTTTCTTGGCAACTTTTTGTGTTTGTAGTGAAATTATGATTTTGTTATGTTAATTTTCTTGAGTTTTTATTTGTCAGGTGTTGCATATATTTTGTAAAAAAATTCATGGATATTGATTTAGATTTTACGTAATACCAAATGTGAAAAAATGACTAATAAGTGCAGTTGTTTTTGTCTAAATATTCAAAAGAATGATAATTGCGATTTTATTAGTGATATACATATTTTTAAAAAAATGTAAAAAAAAAATAGTAGTAGTCACAATGGAAGCATCCACAAGGTAGTGAAAAAGGACGGAGATAAGGTAGCAGTTAGGGATTTTTTTTAATTTAATTTATACTGTAATCCAATATCATAGCATGCAATAATAGAATATTATGGTAAATACATAACAAGAAAATACAACAATATAAAATTTGACCGTTGAGAAATTAGGAGATTTGGCGTCATTTGGAAAGAAAAATATGCACATGGATTGGTTAAAGTTAAATGTACAAAATATAATTAATTTGGGGGGTGAAATGTATATTTTTGAAATACAAGGTGGTAAAATGTTACCACCCCATAGATTCAAGTGGGGCAAAGTGTTATTAACCCTTAAAACGAACCTATGTCCAACTTTTTAACTTCACTTAGCGGCCTCTAATCTAGTGGCTAAAGTTGAAACTCCAAAAATTTGAGATTTTGGTTTCTAATTTCCGTTTATTAAATCCCACTCTTTCTGTGCTGGAAAAAAAATAAAAAAACTTTTTAACTTCAATGGTCATCTTCCATTTCGTATTAGTTTCACAACACTGATGGTGTCCAACAAGCAAGTAAAAGGAAAGAAAGGGGACTTATGGTAATGCAAGTAGTTGAAAACCCATCTTTTGTTGAAGAAACTTTTAGCTGTTTGGCTATATCTTTAATGGGTATAAGTAAAAATAACCTTCACTGTATAAATATAAGATGTAGTATGAATTTACCTTCTTGGAATATTGCACTACTGTCAGTGAAATAGACGATGCCACTATTTTGATCAACAACTACATCATTGGTGAATTTGAAAGGAACTCCTTCAGCTTCCTTTGCTAATGATGCAGCCAATCGACCATTAGGACCTACAACTAAGAGACCCATATAAGCATCCGCAATGTACAGATTTCCATACTTCTGATTGAAACATAGACCAAGTGGTCGCCCACATTTTGACTCGGTTAGAACATTGTCTTGTGGACCTTCACAACCAGATCTGCTCCCACTATTTAGAATCTAAACAGAAATTAGTAACAATGAATAAAACAATCCCCAGTTAGGCAAAACTTTGTAAAAGAAACTTGTAAAATGATGTAATCCTTGCATTCTGGTGTCTTTGAATGAGTTTGACCTCTAACTTTTGCCAAATCAAGCTAAACAAATTAGGATTAATCTCTTTCACTTTATCAATGCAAGAATTTGTTTACACAAGCAATCTTTAATGCGTGCTACATGTTTAAAACAATATTTTGAAATTTGACTCCAAACTTGTAAGGGTGAAAAGAAATTCGACACTGGAGTCAAATTACTGAAAAATGGGGATTACATCAAATCCAAACTAGCAATGAAAAGAAATTTGAGGTCACATCCAAACTTTAATTACTGAAGGCAGAATATTTATTTTCTTAATAGATGTATAGCTAGATTGTAGAATTGAAAAATGGGGATGAGTACATTTACATAAAAGTGGTCTAAGAAGTAAAAAAGGCATACTCTGACATTTGAATACTTAATAAAGTTGGGAAAAATATCCAAACCTGTGTGGGGTTGTTATAGCAAAATTGGTCCAACGCCCCTCATTTGGAAGCCACTTGATTATCCGGCCATCAGAAATACCGGCATAAGGGTAGTGCGTCTACCTCCACCGCACAGCCTCGTCGTACCAAAATGACTGCTGGTCAACGACTAACTGAGGAGGAGCAGCAGCAACAACCTAATTCATTTGAAGAGGAGGAGCAGCTACAAGACGCCCAAGCTAAGGAAGATGAGTAGTATGATCGTACCCGATTTACCTCTACAGCTAACTAAGTCTGGCACGATGAGAGGATTCTAGCTAAATCCAAAGTTCTAGTTGAAAAAGACACTGATCCTATGGTTGACAACCATTATCATGTGAAGGACACCTTTGATAAGGTTGGGTGGCGAGGATTGTTTAATCTCCCCAACTGCTATTATCTAGACTTAGTACAGGAGTTCTAAACTAATATTCCTAACAAAAGAGCATGTGACCTCAAATTTGATGAAATTATCAGCATTGTTAGAGCAAGAAAAGTCCGTATTACCAAAGATGATGTGAGCAGTTGGCTTAATGTGCCCAAGCAGGGAGAAAGTAGATTTGAAAAAGGTCTTCACGCCTCCAAGTGATTGGAATAAGGACGAAGCTGATCTTAAACGCTTCAATGTGAAGACTGAATCCTCCAACAATAAGAAAAGAATCTTGTACACATCTCATTTTAAAAATTATTAGCACCGCATCCTTATTTATTTGTTCGGTACTAATATCATCCCTAGGGTGAGTGGAACTAATGAAACTCAAACAAGTGTTCTTTTTTTTTTAGACCAAATCATTCGAGGGGTGCCACAGGAAAAATATTGTCTCTTAGGCAGCATTTTCATCAAGCATATATGGATTGTGGCTAGGAGCAAGAAGCCACATGCTTTCCATACGCTTGATTCCTCACCATAGCTTTCCAAAAGGCAAGAGTGAACTTTTCTAGGCTAAAACCGGTGATCATAAAGCCCACCGATGCCTTAGGAAAAGCCACCTGCAAAAGACTTGGCATTTCTACTGATTTTGGTAGAAATTTGGTTCAGGATAAAGGAACTAGTGGCCAACAACAGGGTGAAGGAACTAGTGGCCAACAACAACAACCACAGGAAGAGCAACAAGCAGGAGCCTCCACTTCTCAGCCACTTCAGTAGCCAACTAGCCACGCTCAAGCTCCACCACCTCTTCCAAACACTCGACCAGGATGGAGGCACTTCATTGATATGTTTAGCTACTTTGAGAAGAAAGTGATGCGAGAGCTTCAGTGCCATGGTGAAAGCATTCTACGCATTGAAGCAAAGTTGGGCATTGACGTGCAACCAACCCTAGAGATGCAACAAGCTGAACTTAGTGGTGAAGGTAAAGCTGAGTTGGATAAGGTGGAGACATTTGCTAGAGTAGAGAAGTTTTCAAGCACTGAACCCCGTGGTGATGGTAGAGCTGAAGAGGTGCTGAACCCAGTGCTTGCTAGGGTTGAGGATTTTTCGGGTGCTGAACCCGATGGTGATTGTGGAGATGAGAAGCTTGATGGTAGAGCTGAAAGGGTGGATAGTGTTGGGATATTTGTTGGAGATGACAAGTTGTTAGGTGTTAAACACAATGGTGAAGGTGGAGCTGAGAAGCTGCCAACTTTGGAAGTAGAAAAAGAGCAGTCTTGTGAGGTTGTTACATTTTCACAACAAAGTCCAAACAATGAAGAGAACTTGTCCTATTATATGTGACTTCATAAATTGGTAAGTGTATGTTAATGTGTTCCTTTTCATCTTATTGTTTTTTCTTTTCTTTATGTCAACTAACCAAAATGTATAACCTGATTATTTTCTTCCTAGATTACAAAGAATCTTGGAAAAATTTCAAATGTGATTGGTGACTTGGAGTTGAAAGATATCAAATTGGAATTATTGACATTTCTAAAAGATGCGAGACATGTTCCTTATGTTTTTTTCTCCGATTTTAATAAATACTAATTTCATTAATGAACAGTGTTGTGCAGAAGGTTCTAAAGCAGTAGAGAATGATTTGGAAGCATCTGCATATATTCATCTCAGAGAAATCCTTTCTGCAGCATATGTTGAAGTTAGTGGCTTTAGTCAATGAAAATATGTCATTGTTTTGTGATTTCTGTGATTTTTTATTTCATCTTCCACAGCTATGTGAAGGAAACAGATGAGATAGGGATTTATACTCTTAACAAAGAACATTTGGAGAAAGTTATGGATGATAAGGCTTGGGTTGAGGACATGGTTTAGTTTTTTATTCTTTTGAACAGTAATAGCTCTTTCTTTATTTTTTTTTGGTCTTAATAGCATTTTACTGAATCTGTTAATGTATTCTATTACTTTAAGATCATCGTGCAATACACTCATTTACTCCAAAAAGAGTATCAGCAATTTGCTTTCACCCATCCTACATTTTGGGTAAGTTCTAATATTATTACTTATTTTCTTGTGGCTAGCAAAATTCATATCTGACTCTTGCTTGTCATTCACTTTATTGCAAAGAATTTATGTGACAGCTTATCCATCTAAAGCACCCACAACTCCAGAGATTCCTGATCTTAAAGACAAGATGGAATTCATGAAAACTGCAGGAAAGGTATTCACATTTTTATTGGTGATGGGGATTTACAAGCACTAGAAAAGTTCGAGAGGTTGCATTAGTTTCCTGTACAATGCCAAACCGTTTCATGATTGTAATGGTCATCAAGAGGCTCTTTAGTCACCTTTAGTGGACAAACCAACAAACGCCTCAAATCCATACCCAAATTGACTACACGGTCTACCGGATTTAGGGGATGTATGCTTAAACCCATGCTGGACTTGTTACACAGTTGACTGGATTATTTGGCCGGATTTTAATCCATGGCCAGATTTACTACATAGTTGACCAGATTAGCGGATTTGAATCCAAGATCGAAATCTGGTCCACAACCTTCACAATCCATGGATGGATTTGAATCTGGTCCAGAATCACATATCAATCCATGACTGGATTTTAAATGGGTTTTCAATATATTGAAAACTGTTTTTTTGCCCAAGCTTTTGAGTCTTAACAAGTCTTAGTTTCATTTCAATTCACAAACTATTCCAACAATTTTATCATTCTCATTGCTCTGTCATCTATAACATTATAAATGCATCCATTATTTTAAGTTATATATCTATACTTATTGCATAGTTGTTAGCAATTGGATATTTGTTCAATTAGATATTGTTTATTATATGATATTGCAGATCTTTTTCCCTACAACTTTACACAAGCATTGGTATTTGATGGTTGCTCATGTGAAGGAAAAGGAAGTCTACATAGTTGATTCTTTGGTCCATGAGAAATCATACTATGAGGGTGTAATGTAATCGCTGGTACGTACAAGATATATTGCAGGTTATCTTAATATGAAAGAATATAGGATGACCATGGCAGTGCCTTTCTTTGTTAGAGTCTATCAACAAAGGTATTGGTGTTACAATTGTTTGCAGGCATGAGACCATTCAATGCCTCAAAAAGTAGAAAAAATGCTTGAAAAATTGAACTTCATTTTTTCAAGTGAAGCAATTTTATTCAACATGAATCTGGCTGTGGATTTATCTATATTTGGTCAGATTTTTTGACCAGATTCTTGACAGAGGGTAACTCTTTTGAAACAAAATTTTTGACAAAATCCAACCTCGAGATTCGGTCAGGGCCATGTGAATCCACCCCTGTGACTTATTAATCTCAAGTTTTTTATCAGAAGACATTGTGTTATGTGCAATGTTCATGCTTGCTAGGATTTTTTATGCAAAACTCCACGATTGATTCTTTGTCTATATTTGAATGATCAACATTGCTTACCCCAACTTGACTTCATAACATGATTATGAGGTTAGGCAAAAGTTAAATATTTTGCCTGTTGCTATATTTTAGTGGAAAATCACTGTTACTGCACATATGTTTAGGGGAGTTAACATTACTATTTTCTGCTAGTATCTCTAAATTATTTCCAAAAATAAAAAATAAAAAATTGTGTCTAATGAGACTTGCCGTAAGAGAATGTACTTTATTTATTTTAGAATATGTTGAGGAAGGGCCCCATACTTTCTGAAAATTTGCAAATTTGCAACTTATTTCGCTTTATGTTTGTGCAGCTTACCTTAATATGAAAGAATGTAAGATGATCACTGCAATGTCTTTCTTTTTTTTTTCCTTTTTTTGGGCATAGGTATGGATTTTGAGTAGATTGTTAAATAAGGATCCTAGGTGGACATTTTTTCTTGTCAATCACAATTCAAGACAGGGAGATGGAACAAGTTGTGGAATTCTCACAATGAAATATATGCAATATTAGGCAATGGGATGTCGACCCAACATTATTGGACCAGTAAGTGCACTAATCCATGTTGTCCTTCTAGCAGGCTTAGCTTATTGCGTCCAACTCCTAATATTTGTATGTACAACCATTGCTAGGAAGCTTGCTGTCTGGGAGATTGCATTGAATAAATTGGCAGACCCCTTCAATTATGTTGTTTTCCTGAAAGAAAATAAATAGAAAAAGGAGACCGATGCCAAAGGAGATTTGCAAGATAAAGGGTCGAAAAAGAAACTTCTTATTATGGATCTGAATGGAGTGCTTTTGACCAGTTTACCTCACAGTAGATCCAAACAACATGGCTTTACCTTTAGACCCCATTGCATTGAGTTTTTGAAATTTTGCTTGTCAAATTTCATTGTGGCAATCTGGTCATTAAAAAAAGGCATGCTTCAACCTATATTTTAGTTAATTGATTCATACATTATGTCTTCTCTTTTTTCTACTTTTCAGCATTTCATTTTTTTACTAGGCATAATATTCAACCTATACTTCAAAGTATATCAAAACGAATGGGTAAAGGTTTTTAAGAACAACTATTGTTTGTTTGGGTGAGACTTCATTCGTAATTATAAAAAATTGCAGAATCAGTCTCTTAGCAAAATTTTTGGGTAATGTCTTGTTTGATACTGCTATATTTTGCAGGATCAGGATTCATGCACTGTGACAAAAGCCAAACTGAAAGAAAATATAGAGAAAAATGTGATATTTAAGGACTTGAAAAAG